TATTTCAATTAAATTGATGCAATATCGATGCGAGTTTAAGTATTCACTGTGAACGTATAATTACCTTGTAAAAAGTGATCCATTGCATCTGATCATGATTTTCTTCTCGTCTGGGAATATACTTTGCGAGAGTGGCGTCATTCACGATGACGGTCTGAAAGGGAACATTTATGGCTAATTATAATGCCCCGATAGCTTTCAATGATCATACTTATGGGACTGTAAATTACGTTTGTCGCAAATACTAAGCTTTAGCTTTTGTAGCAATATTCGTTTCGCCTCGACAAAGGAGAGAAATGTTACAATGGAAACTGTGAGGCTATAATACACCAAGCGACACAATTCCGATACGAAACGCACGTGCGGACGCTTAAGAAGCCAAATATAATACACCGTGGAAACTGGATCAATACAACGTACAATGAACAGGGAGACAAAAACGACAAGCGATTGAGCGTGATTACTTTTTTGCCTGCGGGAAGGTGCGTTCAATGCCGTTCAAGGGTTTAATTGTTCTTTGATATCAAACTCACCTGGACTTTACTGAGAGGTAAGAGAGATTCAATCAGGCCATCCTTTGTTGCGGCATTTCGAAGCACGAGAGTCTGAGCCACGTTGATTCTGCCCTATAAAGACAAGAATTGCGTGTGATTTCTATGACGGTTTCACAATAAAATCTTCATTCGTCCGCGAAATTATTCTTACCTGCAACAGGACCACTACTTCGTCTATAAACTCCAGACTCTCTTTAGAATCGCCGCGTATGAAAATAGTGAAGCCATTTTTTGTGCAGTCGGAGCTGAAAATTAAAAATAAAAATTAAATATTAATTTACAAGCATAGAAAGTGTAATGGAATTATTTCTTGCTAAATTATACAAAATTTATTTATGGAAAAAATTTTTGAAAACTTCTAAAAATTCAACTAAATAATTTTATTGGATTAGTTAAATTTTTAGATACTTCAGTAAAAAAAACGTTTTTTCTGTGTTTGATTATCAGAGGAAAAACCACCATTATTATATCTTTACTCTTGAACAGGTTCAATTATATTATTAAATAAATATTTTCAAAAAATAGGAACATGAATTTTCACTTATATTAAAGCAACAATGTAATTGGAAGTTAGCTCTACGTGACATTATCGTCACATCTAAAAATAATCGTTATATATGTGTCCATCATTTCGTACATTAGTCGGACAGCCTGCACTCGGCGGTTTTCGAGTGCTTATCGAAACTGTAGCCCATCGTACCGATCCGTATTTACAAACGTCGAATTTCCTAAGCAAATATTATTGCTTCCGACGAAAAATTCCGTGCGCACACGTGAATTACTGCTCGTCGCACGTATTTCAAGATATCTCCACATGTGTTGCTATGATTTCTCCTTTCCGTCGTCATGCTGTAAATGAAACGTGTCATTCGTTGCAGTGACGCTTTTATAAAACGACGTACACGTGCAGCGCCAGACATGCCTCGTTATGTATTTTAATCGACATATCGTTTCTCACGATCGCCATTCGCGCTCAATAGGTTAAGTTTAAGATGGAGCGCTTAAATCACAGAAACAGCTGGCACACTCACTTTCGATTTGACATTGTCAAGAGTCTGATTTGCATTATGTAAACACGAATAATAATTTTAAAAACTATTAATTCTAATATTAAATTATGTTTCTGATAACATTATACCTCAATTATCAAAATAATTATATAGGAAACTTAAGTATGAAAAGCTAATTTGAATATTTTTGACAAACATTTTAAGAGACTTGTCAAAGGGCAGCATTGTCGTTGTAATAAAGTTTTGATATTCCAGTAACCAATTCTATATAATAGTTATTATATAAGCATTATATAATCCAACAAAATTATTTTTAAATCCGTATCCAAATTAAATTTTTAGATACTTCAAAAAAATCATTCTTTTCGTGTAAACATCCCACTCCAGTAATAAAAGATTAATATCAAAGTAATCAGTTTTTAATCAGTTTTACTCTCGAAAATGAGCATTATATCGATATCTTTATATTATTATATTAAGAAAACTTATACATTTTAAATGACTCGTATAGTATCTCGATAATATCATTGTCACTGTAATAAATGATTGTATATCTAGCCAATACCTATAAGAACTATAATACGATAAGAGATCGCATCTTCATAAACAATAGCTAAAAATGCGCATAAGCGCAATTTCAGCCGGCTAAACGTAATCCAGTTGTATCAGATATCGTAAATAGCATTAAGTTATGACACGTGGGTGGTTGACATTAAGCATGCAGCGTTTCTCACGCGGCTCCCGTGGCACTCACACTCCTCTCTCGTCCTTCTCGCGTATATTGTAATCACGTTCCTCTGCACAATACAGTGGTGCAGTGTTTAGCGAGCACAATGCTGAGCTTTGTATGCATCACTTATATCCTGCGGTCTATCCTAAATCGTCATCAGCGCGACAGGCTACGCGTCGAGCACGACGTACATTTCTGTTCCCCGTGCTTGTACTTCCGGTTGCGGGCTGCTCCTTTAACTTCTCTGTCGCGATACGCCAAACCCCTCGATCATATATTATCGACGAGAGAGAGAGCGGCTAAGGGGACGCCTATGCAACGTTTCGTGACAACCTTCTCAAATTGCAACGGCGCGACTGAGACTTTCGAGACAACTGCGTTGCACGTTACTCCCCGTAAAATTCGATAATGCAAATCATACAGTCAGCCACGAGTCGATGGAACGGGAAGCTCCAGCGACCTGTGGGAGTGATAGCGCATAAGATAAAATCAAATCGCCGGTTCTGACTTCCTGTCGTTGCACGTCCATTATCGAAGTCACGGCGAAGGTAACCTTCGAACCGAGAAAGATCATATTTCCGGATTTCAGTTCCGTGAAATATTAGAAATGATAAATCTTCAACAAACTGTGTTCTATTGTGTTGATTGCGAAAATTCAATATATTAATCTTTATCCACTTTTGATTGTTTTTATTTATCTACTGATTATTTCAAACTATTTTTTAATTTTTTTCTTATGAAAGAAATATTAGAGGAACAGAAATAAATATTATGTGAGGACTAAATTTGTGTGTGCACTTTATAAACAAATTTTTTTTTACTTCTATTAAGATAAATTGTTTGATCTTATTTCTTAACCAGTTATCGTTAATGTTTACCACGTATGTACTCTCCCGGATGTAGCTCAGTTATTCACGCGTATTCTCCGTTTTACCGCACGATGATAGATAAGAGGACAGGATCGAACAACCCTTCCTCATCGCGCGTCTATTATCGAATCGGCCGTTTCTATGTAACCGTAATGGCACATACCCGCGGATTTAACGGTGCGGAACAGTCAGACCACAGCAGTCATTCCCCGGAATCAGCGATCTTGTTGATAAGTAAATCACTTTGATTTCGCCGAGTTAATGTCACATGATAGCTCATGACGCCCACGTCTCGCCTCGCTCGGCGCATCGGATTCATCAGCGCGTGGTATAATCGCCGCACGGGTTTTGACGTATGATGGATATAGGCGTTAGCGAGCACGCGTTACAACGTTTCTCGTTCCTCCTGTATGATGCGATTATGCGATTCAACAACGAGATCAATAAGATAGATTCCAAAGAGGCTGTGTCGACACTGATCGCCGTTAGCGCGCTTGACAGTTAGTGCTTCGCCTAAATTACACGTCCCACACGTCGAGAGAACTAATGAAAGGATGCTGCGATATAAGATATTTGTCGCTGACCGAGAAGATCCCGTTGCAAGATGCCGAGCGGGTGCACATTTCCTTTCGTAATAGCGTTGGACAGTACTTCCAAGCTAGTGGAAGTCAATGTCACTGGTGACGCATCAAACAACTCAAGGACTTTAATTATGATTGCATGTCCGAGATCATTGAGATGAATTGGTAGTCTTTATTAATTAATCAACCACTAATTTCTACTTTCTAGATGACAGACTAGAATTCAACGATTTAGTGAGCTAATACATCAAGCATTTTTATATGTAGCATTGAACTAATGATGTTGAAACAAATATAAAGCTCATTTAATGCTGAAACAATTCCTTCACTCGGAATTATTTCAGCACTAAAGATTCAAACTTGATCGCTTAATTTTTATTTTTTAATTGTTGTGTGTTTTCATCGTGGTCTAATGATACATTAATATACTGAAAAACAAATATTGATTCAATTAAAATTTATATTATAGGCTGTCACTAACATAAATAATTAATTCATGTATATTTTTATTGACATAAAAGCTTTGATTATTGAAATAATAATTTATAATTATTTTATTTAATTGAATCAATAGCATTTTTTTCTCAGTGTATTATTATAAATATAAAATTTTTATAAGAATTATTTTTCGAAAGAATTTACCTTGATGAAATTTAGCAGTCCATAATAGCTATATGATTATGATATTTTCGATTTTTAATTCGAATCCTATAACTATATATAAATTTCCACTTATAACCCAAAAATTATTGTAAATAAAACATACATTGCGTCTAAATTTAAATGTTAACTGAGTTTACAGATGAAATATTATAATACAAAAAAAAAAACGATTTTGAAGTATCTAAAAATTTAGCTAGATATAGATTAAAAAAAAATTTGTTAGACCATTAAAATAATTATATAAGACGCTAAACTGCTGGAATGTCAAAACTTTTTACTCGATTATTATGCTCGAATTTCCTACATAATTATTTTGATGGTCCAACAAAATTATTTTTAAATCTACCTAAATTTTTAGATATTTCAGCAAAATCATTCTTTTATGTAATTGGAAATGGAAAATTTTCAAGAATCAACTGTGTCCTCCCAGAAAAAACCTTTCGCGTTTAGCACGATTATCGACCTAGAATCTCCCGGTGGATTTCGATATCGCGAGAGTTCATCGTGTGTAAAGTTCCTAGAAGTATGAATCTAGCCAATTTTGTCCTTTTTTATTGACTTGATGAAAAATAATGGAATCAATCAGATGAGAACTAAACACTGTAAAAAAATTAAAAAACAGATATGTGAACGTTATACATTTGTTAAGTGTACGTATAAATGTACGTATATGTATATGTGCACATACATAACATACGTCATTTTTAATCAAACTAGAACTGGACGATTGGTCAGATTCTTATTTCTAGGGATTCTACATCGTATGTGCGCATCGTGCTGCGCTGCAGAGGAGTCTGAAACCACGTTCGCATCCTGGGTGGGCAAAGGTTGTCGAACAGAGAGGCCGCGTCACGACCGACTGTTGAGTCGCGATTGACGCCGGAGGAATATTCCGACACAACGTGTGCTTGATAGTGCAACAGCGATAATTTCGCGTCCCGGGGCGGCCACACGAATGACATTTTTACCGGGATACACGCAATTCGACGTTGATCATCGTCGGCTCCGCGGGTTACTATCGCGACATAAAACTTCTTTCCTCGCGAAATGAGAGAAAATGCATACCCGGAAACAGTGCCGAACAAACGTGAATTATATTATAGAAATATCTAACTGCTATAACTTCGAGAAACCACTTTTCCCTGCCACGGTGAATTCGATTAAGCCTACAAAATGCCGAAGCTTCATTCTGATGCTTAGTCACGAGCCATAAAGTTTAGATAAATGTAATAGTTAACGTTAGTACGTCGTCAGCCGCGATACCTTCGGCAACGAAGATCACCGCGAGGGACAGTACATATGTAGCTAAAACTATTGGTATTTAAACACTCAATTCGACAGAACCGTGTTCCTCTGGTAAATATCTAATCTTCGAAGATAGTTGTCATTATG